AATGCGGAATAATTTATTTTCAGAGTTATTATTTATGACCGGGAAAAATAATTCATGACCTTGAATTTTTTTTATGAAAAAAGTGGCCACCCTGCAGTTTAGGTTTTACTTTAGAAATACATTGAAACTCCACTTATTTGAACATGGCCCACGCAATTCGACACGAAGTGTCGCGTTTATTTCGTTTATTTGTATTTTGGTCGACATAACCTATGTTGGTGACGTAATTCGATAAATTGACATGATTGGTTGGTTTTGTTTGAACTCAACTAATTGGGAATGTAAGTATCTTTCCATTGGTCGCGTACTGCGCATGAGCTAAAATAAGTGAGGTTAGGGCTGATTCTAACTAAAAATAACTGAAGCAAAAACGGGTTCAAATAAACGCGACTTTAAGTAAACGAGACTTTAAATAAATGGGATTTCAGTGTAGTAAAAACAACCCTAAATATTGTATTTAAAAAATTTTCCAACTTTTGCGAAAAGTAGAATAATTAATTTTTTTTTAAATATCAAATAGTTACTAGCAAAGAAAATAATTGAAAACAATAGGAATAATTTTCGTTTACGATATTTTTTTTTGTTAAAAAAAAAATGCTCTCAATTTTTCAACTATTATTATTATAGATCTAGAAGTTTTTGAATGTTGAAACGACTTTTGGAAAAATGGGAGAAGAAACCAGATTCCAATGGAAGTTGCTTCTTTGCGTCCTTATAATTAATAGTTCCCCGGGCACATTGGTATCCTTCCCCCTTTTTCTGAGCGGTTAAAAAATAATATACCTATACCATACTATTCCTCATCCTTCTGCATAGTGTATCGCCATAGCCTGAAGCGTTTTCTGGTCGTCTGCTTGCCATGCGATCACCGGTCTCTAAATGAAAGTTCTTTTGCAAAACCGGCCCACCTTTATATTTCTTTTTAATCCTCTTTTTTTTATCCGTCCTTCCACTGTTCTTCGCCTCTCCTCGCTTATACGATATATATAGTATTACAAGTTCTATATATTGTGAAGCGAAAATTCGGTTTTGCAATTGAACGAGTGTTTTGCCGGGTGTGCATGCGTCTTGTCGTTTACAATTGGTAATATTGCCCCGAGGCGAGGAATCGCGTTTCTTATGGTCACCACCGTGTATTACGATAAGAACAAGACTCGAAGGTAAAAGGAATGAACGAGGAAACGATTCCCTCTTCATAATGCGTACGTTCAATGCATACCAATATCTCCAACATCTTTTTTAATCTTTTAATCTTTCCGAGATCTCGAATTTTATTAACTTTTCTCAACTCTCTCAATTTCTCTATTTCCGCTTTATTTTTGCCACGCAACCTGGAAATCATGGAAAAGTCACGGAATTTTTATCGAAATCCTGGAAAATTGTTGTTTTCTAATTGTGCTTATTCTTGAAATCTAATTTTACTCAAATAAAAATTAATTCAATTTTAAGAGTTGCGTTTACAATTTTCATAACTAGAAGAACTTCAAAAGACTTTATAGTTTGAAATTTTGTCAAATTTCAATTTTCAATGAATTTAATTTAGAAATCTGAAAGAACGTAGATTTTTGAAAAACATTAATAAAATTCAAATTCTTCCGAAATTATAGTTAAATTTTTTAATATGTACCTATTTAATTGATTATTAAAAATAATTGATTCAAAAAAGAATTTTAATTAAAAACACTGAAAGAAATTGAGTTTTAAATCAATTACAAATGATTGCAAAAATTCAATTATTTAAAGTCAATTTTAATAAAATTCTACTCAAAAATTTAATTATTTTCATAAATAATAAAAATTTCACAAGAATTCAATTATTTACAAACTCAGGTCTCGAACTATGTCCGCAAATCCCGTAAAAGTCCGTTTTTTTGAAAAAAAGGTCCGTAAAAGTCAATAAATTGTAGACGATAATATAGTTTGGATAATTTTAGAGAAATTTCAAATGATTTGAGGAATTCAATTATTATATTTTCAAAACTAATAAAAATCTTCTCATATTTTCAAAAATTTTCCTCAATTCAATGATTTTTGGTATCTATCTACTATTCTAATAAAATATTCCAAAAGAATTCAATTATTTAAAAAGAAAATTTAATAAAATTCTACACAAACCTTTAATTTCAAAAAATAATAAAAATTTTACAGGAATTTCATTATTTACAAATTTTTTTTATAAATTTCTTCGCAATCATTCAATTATTTTCATAAATAATAAAATTTTTACAGAAATTCAATTATTTTGGTAAATAATAAAGTTCTTATTAGGAATTCAATTATTTTGATAAATAATAAAACTCATTGCAGAAATTCAATTATTTTCAAAAGTAATAAAATTCTTAGCAGAAATTCAATTATATGATTCAAAAAATTTTTAAAAATTCTCGTCGAAATTTCAATTATCCTTAGAAATAATTAAATTCTTCTCCGAAATTCAATTATTTTCAAAAATTTTAATAAAATTTTCTGGCAAAATTTCAATTATTTTCAAAAAAATTCCTCAATTCAATGATTTTTAATAAAATTTTTTAAAAGAATTCAATTATGTAAAAAAAAAATGTAATAAAATTCTACACAGACCTTTAATTTATTATTTTCAAAAAATAAAAATTTCACAGGATTTTAATTATTTTCATAAATAATTGAATTGCAGAATTTCAATTATTTTTAATACAATTTTAATCAAATTCGTCGAAAAATGTAAATGTTTTTAAATAGTTTATTAAAATACGTCAAAAGAATTCAATTATTTAAAAATGTATTTGATAAAATTCTCTATGAGAATTTAATTTTAAAAAATGTATGTAAATAATTGAATTTTAATAGAATTTTCTAATACGAATTGATTTAAAAATGTATTTCAGTTAAAATTTTCAATTATAATTGAATATTAAAAGCATTAGAGCGTGAATTTTTAGAAATAATTGAATTTTGAAAAGGTTTCAAATTCAAATCTTTGAGAATCTGAATTTTTCATATTTTAAACTAACGATTCTGTGAAATTATTTTTTTTGAGAAAGTTTAATTACGGATTTTTTTTGAAATTATTTGAAGTTTCTATTTTATAATGTATATTTAATTGAAGAATTTACGAATAATTGAAATTTTGTAAAATTATTGAATTGTAAACAAATGAATTTGAAAATTCTCAAAGAACTTTTTCAAAAATTATTAAAAATAATGCATTTATAGAAGAATTTTAGTTAAAAATACGTAAAAACAATTTAATTTTTGAAAAGTTACAAATTAGCATTAATTCAATTATTTTCATAAATAATAAAACTAATTGCAGAATTTCAATTATTTTCAAAAAACAATTTCAATCGAATTTCTCGAAAAATCTAATTATTCTTAAAAATTTTATTAAAAATCGTCAAAAGAATTCATTTATATTTAAAAATTTATTTTATAACATTCTTTACGAGCATTCAAGTTTAAGAAACAGCCAATTTATAAATTATTTATTTTTATATTTAAATAATTAAATTCTAGTAGAATTTTCTAATAAATACTTCCTCTATGAGGAAGTAAAATTGATTTAAAAATGAATTTTAGTTAAAATTTTACATAATAATTGAATATTAACAGCATTTTATAATAAATGTTTAGAAATAATTGAATTTAGAAATTAAGTTTTTTGAAAAAGTTTAATAAAATTTTTTTTATATATTATTTTAAAAATTGGCAAAATTTTAACTATTTTTCAAAATTTTCCTCAATTCAAGGATTTTCAAAATTACTAATTTAGTAAAATTTTCTAGAAAAATTTCAATTATTTAAAATAAATTTAATTATTTTCATAAATAATACAAATTTCTTAGGAATTCAATTATTTATAAATTTTTTTATAATTTTCTTCACAATAATTCAATTATTTTCATGAATAATAACATTTTTGCAGGGATTCAATTATTTTCACAAATAATGAAATTCATCGTAGAATTTCAATTATTTTTAATTCAATTTTAATCGAATTTCTCGAAAAATCTAATTACTCTTAAACATTCTATTAAAATTCGTCGAATAGAATTTAATTACTTAAAAATTTTTTGATAAAATTCTTTGTGAGAATTGAATTTTAAGAAACATTCAATTATTTATTTTTGTATTTAAATTATTTAATTTGTAGTAGAATTTTCTAATAAAAATTGATTTAAAAATGAATTTCAGTTAAAATTTTAGATTATAATTATTATTTTCTAGAATTTTAAATTATTTTTTATGAAAATAAATGAATTCCTTAAAAAAATTTTTATTATTTATGAAAATAATTGAATGTTTGCATACAATTTTATCAAAAAATTTTTTAAATAATTGAATTCTGTTTGGGAAATTTTATTAAAATAGTAGATATTGAAAATCATTGAAATTAGAAAAATGAATTTTATTTTTGAAAATAATTGAAATTAGGACAAGAATTTTTTTTGACATTTATGTAAATAATTGAATTTTGGAGAAGAATTTTGTTAATTTATAAAATTGGTAATTTTACAAGAATTTTTTTCTAATTTTGAACGTAGTTGAATTTTATTTTTCTTTGAAAGCAATTGAATTTTTGCAATTATTTATAATTTCTCTAAAATTAAATTTTTTTTAGTGTTTTCAACAAAAATTTTAATTAGAAAATTTTTAAATTCTATTATTTTTAAAATTTCTAATTTTATTTTAAAAAGTCAGCAATAAGTTAGCCGCGCGCTTTAACGCGCGAATTGTTGCTAGTTGAGTAGTAAAAGCAATATAGCGTGAATATTTAGAAATAATTGAATTTTGAAATTAATTTTTTTGAAAAAGTTTATAATTGAATTGTTTTGTATTATTTGAATTTTTTATTTTCTAATATATTATATTTAAGTGAAGAATTTACGAAAGTATTGAAATTTCGTAAAATTGTAAATTGTAAACAGAATTTGAAAATTTTGAAAGAATTTTTTCGAAAATTATTAAAAATAACAATTTATTGATTTAATTTGAAGTTCTAAAAAAGAAATTTCTCATTGCAGGAAGAAAATGCCGTGGAGGAAATCTCAGGAGTGAAAAAATGGAGACGAGAGGACCAGAATATGAGAAGTAGCAGAACGTGACATGGCAAGAACAATATGGATTGTTCTCTGCCTGACGGGCTTGTGCACATTGGCGGAGTGCTACCTGGCAGTATTATCCACGGACCTGCGACCAGGAAGCGTCGTCTTCGAGGCCGGCGTACCGCAACTAGGTGGAAAACGAAAATACGAAGTGTCAACCGATCGAACCGCGTGGTTCGCACGAAAATTGCTCAAAGTACATTCGCACACGGGACGCGTGACACTGGCAAGAAATTTAAATTGCGATGGTCTACAATATCCACGACTATTCACATTCTATGTGGATTCCACCAGTTCTCGTCTCGGGAGACCAATGATAGATTACTACAGTCTGCCGCTGAGAGTTTTAATCACAGGATGCGGCGGGGAGAATCAAGATCTCGCGGCAACTACCGGTTGGATGGCGGAAACCTTGGCTTCCTATGCAATGCCAAGTGCGGATAAATTCACCGAGGTTTGTCTACGTGCATCGCAGTTGATAGCGGCGTTGAGTGATTTTTTGCCTCACACGGCAATGAAGGAGTGTCAGACAAAATGGGTGGGTGTCACGGATCCGAGATTTTTGATTGAGAGTGGCACTGGCGATTTGGTATCAGCCTCGGAGCAATGTCTGAAGGATCCACTTTGGAAGATATCCGTGTCAATGATATTGAATTGTGAATCGCCGCATTTATCTGACGCTGAGCATCGACTGAAGATTGTGTTTCATCATCAGACTTTGGATGATTCCGACCTCGGCAGGAGGGTGCGACGGGAATTGCGAAATCAGTCGCCGTTTTTCGAGCAACCGCTCTATGTCGCAACGGTCGAGGAGGAAAAGGAGCCGGGCGAATCGGTGACCGTTGTTCGAGCCAAGGATCCCGAGGGTGGACTCGTACGGTACTCGATGACTTCGCTTTTGGATGGAAGATCGCAGTCGCTGTTCGTTTTGGATTCAATAACTGGAAGAGTCACGACCAGGGCGAGATTAGATCGTGAGAGTTTGGAGGTACATTATTTTCGAGTCTCGGCTGTTGATGATTCATTTCCCCCTAGAACTGGAACGACAATGTTGCAAGTTAACGTTCTTGATGTTAATGATCATGAACCGAATTTCGAGTGGCCGGAATATGAGGCGTCGGTGAGGGAGAGTGTTCCGGTTGGATCGACCGTTGTTGTTGTCAAAGCGACCGATAAAGATTCTGGAAGAAATGCGGAAGTTGAATACGCAATTATCTCGACAACCGGGGGTGGAATCACCTCCTTGATGGAAGATTCCTCGACTTTTCGAATTGACTCCAGGTGTGAATAAAAATTTGATAATTTTATCTTTTTCTATGTGTCAGGGCTCGAACTCCCGTAAAGCTCCGTAAATTTGCTTCAAGTTCGTACAACTCAGTTTTTTTTTGAAAAAAGGTCCGTAAAGTCCGTAATTTGATTGAGAAAAGATGAAAAGTTAGTAAATTGTACGATATAATTTGGCGAATTTTAGAGAAATTACAAATAATTGCAGAAATTCAATTATTTTCAAAAGTAATAAAATTCTTCGGAAGAATTTAATTATGTTCCAAAAATTTACAAAAATTCTCGTCAAAATTTCAATTATCTTTAGAAATAATAAAATTCTTCTCCGAAATTCAATTATTATCAAAAAATTTCCTCAATTCAATGATTTTCAATATCTACTATTTTAATAAAATTTTCCAAAAGAATTCAATTATTTAAAAAAAATTGTAATAAAATTCTACTCAAACAATTATTATTAATAATTATTTTCATGAAATAATAAAAATTTCATAGAATTTCAATTATTTACAAATTTTAAATAAATTTCTTCGCAGTCATTAAATTATTTTCGTACATAATAAAATTCTTTTTAGGAACTTAATTATTTTCATATATAATAAAACTCATTGCAGAATTTCAAATATTTAATTTAATAAAATTTTAATCGAATTCTTCGAAAAATGTAATTATTTTTAAAAGTTTTATAAAAATTTGTCAAAAGAATTCAATTATTTAAAAATTTGTTGATAAAATTCTTTATGAGAATTCAATTTTAAGAAAAATTAAAATAATGAAAATAAATTATTTTTTTGTATTTAAATAATTGAATTCTCGTAGAATTTTTTAATAAAAATTAATTTAGAAATTAATTTGAAAATTCTCAAAAAACTTTTTTCAAAAATTATTAAAAGTAATGGATTTATAGAAAAATTTTAGTTAAAAACACTAAAATAAAATTTTATTCTGGAGAAGTTAGAAATTATTGAAGAAATTCAATTAATTTGCAAGAGTAATAAAATTCTTGGCGGAAATTTAATTATGTTCAAAAATAATAAAATTCTTCTTATGAATTCAAATTATTTTTATAAATCATAAAACTCAACGTAGAATTTCAATTATTTTAAAAAATTAAATAAATTTTTTATTTTTTTAATTATTTTGAAAAATTTAATAAATTTTTTGGCCAAATTGGAATTATTTTCAAAAATTTTCCTCAATTCAATGATTTTTAATATCTACTATTTTAATAAAATGTTGTCATAAAATTTAATTACTTTTAAAATTTTCAATTTAAAATTATTAAAGAAATTATTATTTTCAAAAAACTTGAAGAAATTCTCTATAAAAAAATAGAATTATTTACGAGAATTCTAAGAAAATTGTTCAAAAGAATTGAATTTTCTATCAATAATTTTAATAACATTTAATAATAAAATTGTTAATATTAATTGTTAACAAATCCGATTATTTTAAAACTTTTTAAAGAAATTTTTTATAAAATTCAATTACCTACTTTCAAAATATTTTATTTTTAATTAAAATTCTCAAGAAGACTGCAATATTTTCAAAAAATGAAGGAAATTCTTTGCAAACATTCAATTTTTTCAAAATTTTTGTTAAAATTCTTCGCAAGAATGCAATGATTGTCAATACATTAATTTTAAAATTCAAAACATTTTTTAAAAAGAAAAATTATTAAAAAAATGTAATTATTCTTAAAAATTTTATTAAAATTTATCAAAGAAATTCAATTATTTTAAAGACCTTTGCTCCAATTTTTTTATTAGAATTCAAGTATTATTTTAAATATATTTTTAATTAAATTTCTTCAAAGAATTAAATTATTTTCAAATATTTTAATCAAATTCTTTGTGACAATTCAATTTTTTTCAAAATAATTTTAATAAAATTCTTCGTAGAAATTTCAATTATCTTTATAAATAATAAAATTTTTCTCCAAAATTCAATTATTTTCAAAAATTTTAATAAAATTCGTGGCTGAATTTCAATTATTTTTAATAGAATTTTCATCAAATTTCTCGAAAAATGAAAATATTCTTAAAAAATTTTATTAAAATTCGTCCAAAGAATTCAATTTATTTAAAAATTTATTGATAAAATTCTCTATGAGAATTCAATTTTAAAAAATAAGCAATTATTCAATAAATAATTTACTTTAGTATTTAAATAATTGAATTCTCAAAATTTCAATTATCTTTAGAAATAATTAAATTTTTCTTCGAAATTTGATTATTTTCAAAAATTTTAATAAAATTTTTTGGCAAAATTTCAATTATTTTCCAAAAATTTCCTCAATTCAATGATTTTTAATATTTACTTTTTTAATAAAATTTTCTATTCAATTATGTTAAAAAAATTTTTTAATAAAATTGTACGCCAACCTTTAATTAGTTTCATCAAATAATAAAAATTTCACAGGAATTCAATCATTTTCATAAATAATAAAACTCATTGCAGAATTTCAATTATTTTTAATACAATTTTAATCAAATTCGTCGAAAAATGTAAATGTTTTTAAATATTTTATTAAAATACGTCAAAAGAATTCAATTATTTAAAAATTTATTGATAAAATTCTCTATGAGAATTCAATTTTAAAAAATGTATGTAAATAATTCAATTTTAATAGAATTTTCTAATACGAATTGATTTAAAAATGTATTTCAGTTAAAATTTTCAATTATAATTGAATATTAAAAGCATTAGAGCGTGAATTTTTAGAAATAATTGAATTTTGAAAAGGTTTCAAATTCAAATCTTTGAGAATCTGAATTTTTCATATTTTTAGCTAACGATTCTGTGGAATTAATTTTTATGTGAAAGTTTAATTGTGGATTTTTTTTAATTATTTGAAGTTTTTAATTTCTAAAATCTATTTAATTGAAGAATGTCAGAATAATTGAAATTTCGTAAAATTAAATTGTAAATAAAAGGATTTGAAAATTCTTAAAGAGCTTTTTTAAAAAATTATTTAAAAAAATTGACTTACAGTAGAATTTTAGTTGAAAATTTCTAGAAATGAACAATCGAAATGATAAAAATAATTTTTAAAGAAGTTACAATAACAAAGTAGCAAGTTTTAATTATTATAAAATATGAAGAAAGCGAAGACTCGGAGTGATCGCCTTCTTCATGTTTTATAATTATTGAATTTCAAATTTTTGAAAATCTTAATTTCTATGAAAAAATAATAATGTTTATGTGTTTATTTAAAAATGAAGTTTTAAATTAAATTTTCGTTTCTAAAAATTATCTTTTTTATAATTAAATTTCTCTTTTGTTTTTTTGGAAAAGGATCTAAGAAAAAGTCAAAATGCTGTCTTAAAATCAAGGGGAAGTCAAGAAAACAAAAATCTATTTTTTATGTCAATCCTACTTTTTCTAAATCCTTTTTATAATTCTTTTTTTGTTTTGTAGAACTGGTGTTGTATCAACAAGATCGGCGCTTGATCGAGAAAAGACAGAAGTATACACCGTGATTTTGCGAGCTTCGGATCTTGCGACTCCACCATCGGCGAGAAAATCGGCAACAACCACCCTAGTTGTACGCGTCTCGGACGACAATGACAACTACCCACAATTCTCGGAGAGAACGTACTCAGTGACCGTACCCGAAGATCTAGATTACACTAACGATCCAATTATCGCTCGAATTCGCGCCACAGACGAAGACAGTGGAAATAATGCCGCAGTTCGTTACAATATTATCGGTGGTAATCTTCAAAATACATTCTCAATAGATTCACAAAGTGGCGACGTGAGTTTGGTGAAAAATTTGGATTACGAGAATGCGAAAAATTATCGTATTGTCGTTAGAGCACAGGACGGTGGTATGCCAGCGAGATCGAATACAACTCAATTATTGATTCACGTCAAGGATATTAATGACAATCCACCGAGATTTTATACAAGTTTATTTCAAGAGGCCGTGTCTGAAGGTGAACCAGTGGGATATAATATTGTTCGAGTACAGGCTTACGATGCCGATGAGGGTTTAAATGCACAAATAAGATATGTGATTGGTTCGAGAGATTTTTCTGGAGCGTCAACTGAAAATTTTCCAATTGCCGTCAATGCCGAGACAGGATGGATTTATACTGTTAAACAATTGGATCGTGAATTGTGCTCGAAATATCAGTTTTCGGTGATTGCAAGTGATTCCGGAGAGCCACCACAATCGGCGAGTGCTTCAGTCATTCTCACCGTGACTGATGTCAACGATAATGATCCCTATTTTGATCCGAAAAATTACGAGGTTGTTATTTCTGAGGATGTACCAGCGGGCACGCCGGTCACGTCCGTTACTGCGACCGATCCTGACGAGGATTCACGAATTCACTATGAGATCACGGTGGGAAATACTAGAGGTAATTTTTTTCCTTTTTTTATTACGAGTAGCAAATGTTACGCGCCCGGAAAAAATTAATTAGAATTAAATTTTCAAAGCATATTTTTAAACTTTAAAGTAAATAAAAAAAACGTTGAGAAATTTTGATACTAATTTCAAATTTGACATCAGATTTTCAAAATTGAAAATAAAACTTTCTTGTACGAGGAAAATTGAATTTCGCAAAACTTGTTATTTGATACCAAAATTAAAAATAATCTTCATTACGAAAATTTTAATTATTCTGAAGAATAGAGAAGGTAAAAAAATTATTATATATTCAACTTTCTGAACAAAGAATACAAATATTTTTTTTAGAGAATTTCCACTACTTTTAATTCGTTAATTTTCAAAAAAATTTCGAAAAAATCAATTATTTAACAAAATTTTATGGAATTTATTTTTCACAATCAATTACTTTCAAAAATAATAAAAAATTTTCACAGAAATTCAATTCTTTTTAAATATTTTAATAAACTTTTCCGCAATAATTTTTTGGAAGGATTGAATAATTATTTTAAAAAATTTAATAAAATTATTCGAAAGAAATTAATTCTTTTAAATAAAATTTTATTTAAATTTTTTTGAAATAATTCAATTATTTTTTAAAATTTTAATTAAATTTTTTCTAAATTCTTTTCAAAATTCAATTATTTTTATAAATTCATTCTTCGAAACAATTCAGTTATTTTTAAAAATAATAAATTTTTTTCCAAAAATTCAATTATTATCAATAAAATTTTCCAAAACAATTTCAATTATTTTCTAAAATTTTAATAAAATTGTTTCTAAAAATTCAATTATTTTCAATACAATCTTAATTAAATTTCACCAAAGAATTTAAATTTTCAACGAAACAATTATATTATTTTTCAAAATTTTTTATAAAAATCTTTGCAATATTTCAATTACTTTCGTAAATAATAAAATTTTTCAAAGAATTTCAATTATTTTTAAAAATTTTAATAAAATTCTTACTAAAAATTCAATTATTGTCATAAAAAAATAAAGTTCTTTTGAAGATTTCAATTATTTTCTTAAATAATAAAATTCTTCAGAGAATTTCAATTATTTTTAAAAGTTTTAATAAAATTCTTCAAAAGATTTCAATTATTTTCAAAAATTTTATTAAAATTCTTTTGAAGATTTCAATTACTTTCATAAAAAATAAAATTCTTTTGAAGATTTTAATTATTTTCAAAAATTTTGATAAAATTCTTCCTAAAAATTCTATTATTTTCATAAAAAATAAAATTCTTTTGAAGATTTCAATTATTTTCTTAAATAATAAAATTCTTCGGAAAATTTCAATTATTTTCAAAAATTTTTAATAAAATTCTTTTGAAGATTTCAATTACTTTCATGAAAAATAAAATTCTTTTGAAGATTTTAATTATTTTCAAAAATTTTGATAAAATTCTTCCTAAAAATTTTATTATTTTATAAAAAATAAAATTCTTTTGAAGATTTCAATTACTTTCATAAAAAATCAAATTCTTTTGAAGTTTTTAATTATTTTCTTAAATAATAAAATTCTTCGGAGAATTACAATTATTTTTAAAAATTTTAATAAAATTCTTTCTAAAAATTCAATAATATCTTCATAAAAAATAAAATTCTTTTGAAAATTTCAATTATTTTCTTAAATAATAAAATTCTTCTTAAGATTTCAATTATTTTCAAAAATTTCAATACAATTCTTCGCAAGAATTCAATTATCTTCAAAAAAAGATTTTTTTTTGGAAAATTTAAATTATTTTCATTAATAATAAAATTACTAATTACAATTAATTAAGAAAATCTATTATGTTCAATAAATTATAGAAATTTTTTGAAAGAATTTAATTATTGTCAAAATCTTTAATAGTATCTATTCTTCGAAAGAATTTAATTATTATCTATTTTTTAATAAAATTCCTTGAATTATTAAATTAAATTATTTTCAAAAATTTTAATAAAATTTTTCGCGAGAATTTGATTAATTTTATAAATAATAAAATTCTGCGAAGAAATTCAATTATTTTTTAAAATTTCAATCAATCCTTCGAAACAATTCAATTATATTAATTATAAATAGTAAAACTCTTTGCAAAAAGTCAATTAGTTTCAACAAAATTTCACGAAAGAATTAAATTTTTTTCTTAATTCGTTATAAAATTTTTAAAAAGAATTCAATTATTTTTTAAAATTTTAATAAAATTCAATAATTAAATGTTTAATTCTAATTATTAACAAATAGGATTATTTTAAAAACTTGAAAAAATTGTTCATAAAATGGAATTATTTTTAAAATTTTTATTTAAAATTATCACAGAAATTCCATTTAAAAAAAAGAAAGAAATTCTTCAAAAATAATTTAATTAGAATTTTCAAAAATGTTAACAAAATTTCTCACGAGAATTCTTTACAGAAATTTAATAATTTTCGAAACAACTTCAATTATTGAATTTCTCGAAAGAATTTAATTATTTTCAAAAATTTTTCAGAACAATTCAATTATTTCCTACAATTTTAATAAATTCTTCGAAACATTTTAATTATTTTTATAAATAGTAAACTTCTTTGCAGAAATTCAATTCTTTTCAAAACAATTTTAATAAAATTCTTATAGAAAGAATTTTATTTTTTTGAAATATTTACATAAAATTCATTAATTTCCTAAAATTTTAATAAATTCTTTGGAACAATTAAATTATTTTTATAAATAGTAAAATTATTCGCAAGAATTCAATTATTTTATAAATTCTTCTCCGGAATTCAATTATTTTTAATACAATTTTAATCAAATTCTTTTCCATAAAATTCAATTGCTTTCAAAATTTTCAATTAAAATTATTAAAGGATTTCTTTGAAAGAATTCAATTATCATTCTCTTCAAATTTTTTTAATAATATCCTCTGCAACAATTCGATGATTTTTAATATATTTTAATTTTAAAATTGAAAATATTTAAAAAGAAAAATTAATTGGAAAGTCAGAAAATAAAAAAGCAAACAACTAACTTTAAACTGCGAACAGATTACCGGAATACAACGATTATTAATATTTTATTTAATTTCTTTGTTTAATATTTTATTTTTCCATTTAAGGTCGTTTTTCAATTACATCGCAAAACGGTCGTGGACTGATCACGGTCGCTCAATTACTCGACTACAAGCAGGAGAAGAGATTCGTGTTGACTGTGACGGCAACGGATTCGGGTGGAAGGACTGACACTGCTCTCGTTTACGTGAACATATCGGATGCAAATAATTTTGCACCCGTTTTTGAAAGAGCTCCGTATTCGATTTCTGTTTTTGAGGACGCACCAATTGGAACTACTGTTCTGATTGTTGGAGCAACTGATTCGGACGTTGGTCAAAATGCACAAATAACATACAGTTTGGGAAGTGACGGTGGCGATCAGGAGCCATCGGAGTTTGTTATCAATCCACAGACCGGAGCCATCACGACAACGCGACTTCTTGATCGGGAACAAGTTTCTGGTTATTTATTGACAGTCACTGCACGAGATGGTGGAGTGCCTCCACTGTCAGACACCACTGACGTCGAGATTTCCATCACTGATGTTAATGACAATGCGCCTGCTTTCGATTCGCCACAATATCACGGTTCGGTTATTGAAGACGTTCTTGTTGGGACGAGTGTTCTAAAGGTGACGGCAATTGACAACGATATTGGATTAAATGGAAAGGTAAGATCTCTAAAATATTTTTAATAAAATTTCTTCAAAAAATTGAATTATTTTAATAGATAATGAAATTCTTTGTAATCAATAAAATTTTTTTCAAAATAATTTTCATAAAATTCTTTGTAGAAATTTAATTAATTTCAAAAATTTGGCAAAATTCAATTATTTTCAATGTCTATCATTTAAATAAAATTTCACAAAAGAATTCAATTATTTAAAAAGAAATTTTCATAAAATTCGTCTCAGGAATTCAATTATTTTTAAAAGTATTCTAATTCTTCGCAAAAATCTAATTATGTTCAAAAAATTACAAAAATTCTCGTCAAAATTTCAATTATCTTTATAAAAAATAAAATTCCTCTGTGAAATTCAATTATTTTCAAAAATTATAATAAAATTCTTGGCGGAATTTCAATTATTTTTAATACAATTTTCATCAAATTTCACGAAAAATGAAATTATTCTTAAAAATTTTATTAAAATTTGTCAAGAGAATTAAATTATTTAAAAATTTTTTTGCTAAAATTCTGTATGAAAATTCAATTTTAAGAAACATTTAATTATTTAATAAAATATTTATTTTTGTAGTTAAATAATTGAATTCTCATGTAGAATGTTCTAATAAATATTGATTTAAAAATGAATTTCAGTTAAAATTTTAGATTTTAATTGAATATTGAAAGCATTATAACGTTGATTTTTTGAAATAATTGAATTTTCAATAAGTTTCAAATTAAAATCTTTGATAATTTGAACTTTATATACTTTTAATTAAGAATTGTGTACAATTAAGTTTTTTCAAAAAATGTAATGGACTTTTTTTAAAATTATTTAAAGTTTTTAATTTCTAATACATTTAATTGAGGAAAGTCAGAATAATGGAAATTATATTTCGTAAAAATTAATTATTTCAAACAATGTTTAGAAAATTCTTATGAAGAATTTAATTATTTTCAAAAATAAAAAAAAAATTTCACAAAAATTCAATTCTGTTTCAACATTTAAATAAAATTTGTCTCATTAATTCAATTATTTTTGAAAATTTTAATAAATTCCTTAGCAACTATTCAATAATTATTGTCATAAATAATAAAAATCATCGCAGAATTTTAATTATTTTTAATTTAATTAATCGAAAAATTCAATTATTTTCACAAATAAAGTTTTCCACAAAAAATCAATTATTTAAAATAAAATTTTCATAATATTTATTATATTTCGAAAATATTAATTATTTCAAATAATTTTTAGAAAATTCTTATGAAGAATTCAATTATTTTCAAAAATAAAAAAAAATCCACAGTAATTCAATTCTTTTTAAACATTTTAATAAAATTTTTCTTGATAATTCAATTATTTTCATAAATAATAAAATTCTTCCCAGGAATTCAATTATTTTTGAAAATTTTAATAAACTCCTTAGCAACTATTGAATTATTTTCATAAATAATAAAACTCATCGCAGAATTTCAATTATTTTTAATACTATTTTAAATTAATTAATCGAAAAATTCAATTATTCTTAAAAATTTGATTTCAATTCCTTGAAAAAATCAATTATTTAAAAAAATGTTTTTTAAAATTCTTTGGAAGTATTCAATTATTTACAAAAATATTAGAATTTTTCACAGGAATTCAATTATTTTCAAATATTTTAATAAACTTGTTCGATAGAAATCAATTATTTTAAATACAACTAGCTAAACTATCCGCGCGCAAGCGCGCGGGAATGTTGCATGGGGCTGCTTATTTTAAACAATTTAAAAAATTTTAAAGAAATAATTATTATAACCTAACAAAGAGATTTACCTAACTAAAATTCAAATAATTTCACTCAATGGTCTCAATTTAAATAGAATTTACATTACTAGACTTAAACTATGGCTAGAACAATTACAATTAGTATCTGGGTCATCTTTTGCATTGCTTATTTTATAAAGCCATTTTAATTTAAATACTTTTTAAAGAAATAATAATTATTACACACTGAAAAAAGTTTTACTTAAAATATCAATAAGTTTCTCTAGAATAACGAAAGTATTAATTGAAGCACTGAATAATTTCGCTACTAAAGTGAAATCTGTAGTTCATCAAGCCAAATATTTTTTGCCGTGCATAACAAAAAAAGAATTAAATTAACATCAGATTTTCTACATTCAAAAAAAACGAATTCAAATAGAAATTAATCATTTTACAACTTAACCAAATTCACCCCAGAAATCACTGAATTCGATAATTTAGAAGAAAGTCAGACAAAAGCAGGGTTCCTACAGAATCTGGAAATCATGGAAATCATGGAAATGGTATGGAATTTTTAAAAGGCTTCTAGAAATCAGGGAAATCATGGAAAAGGCCTGTAAGTTTTAAAAAATTTTAAATTTTTTAAGTTTTCCATTTTTTCTCTTGAATAAAAATTCAAATAATAATAAAGCTAAATGGTATAAATGGGAAGAAAAATGTTGAATTTTTAGAAATTCAATTTTTCGGATTCTTGATAATTTTCGATAATTTTAGATTTGTTACCAAAGAGTCGAGACAATTTAATAATAAAGTATTTTCCAAAAGCACAAAAATAAATAAGCTAAATCCCATAAAAGAGAGGAAAAAATGTTGAATTTTAAGAAAAACGGATTTTTGAAATTTTTCGAATTTTGGATAATTTTAGTTTTTTTACTAAAGAGTCGAAACAATTTAATAAGTAAAGTATTTTCCAAAAGCACAAAGATAATGAAGCTAAATCCCATAAAAGAGAGGAAAAAATGTTGAATTTTAACAAATTCGGATTTTTGAATTTTTGATAATTTTCGATAATTTTACATTTTTTACCAAAGAGTCGAGACAATGTAATAAGTAAAGTATTTTCCAAAAGCAAAAAAATAATAAAGCTAAATCCTATAAAAGAGAGGAAAAAATGTTGAATTTTAACAAATTCGGATTTTTGAATTTTTTCGAATTTTTGATAATTTTAGATTTTTTACCAAAGAGTCGAGACAATTTAATAAGTAAAGTATTTTCCAAAAGCACAAAAATAATGAAGCTAAATCCCATAAAAGAGAGGAAAAAATGTTGAATTTTAACAAATTCGGATTTTTGAATTTTTGATAATTTTCGATAATTTTACATTTTTTACCAAAGAGTCGAGACAATGTAATAAGTAAAGTATTTTCCAAAAGCACAAAAATAATAAAGCTAAATCCTATAAAAGAGAGGAAAAAATGTTGAATTTTAAGAAAAACGGATTTTTGAATTTTTGATAATTTTCGATAATTTTACATTTTTTACCAAAGAGTCGAGACAATTTAATAAGTAAAGTATTTTCCAAAAGCACAAAAATAATGAAGCTAAATCCCATAAAAGAGAAGAAAAAATGTTGAATTTTAAGAAATTCGGATTTTTGAATTTTTGATAATTTTCGATAATTTCACATTTTTTACCAAAGAGTCGAGACAATGTAATAAGTAAAGTATTTTCCAAAAGCACAAAAATAATAAAGCTAAATCCTATAAAAGAGAGGAAAAAATGTTGAATTTTAAGAAAAACGGATTTTTGAATTTTTGATAATTTTCGATAATTTTACATTTTTTACCAAAGAGTCGAGACAATTTAATAAGTAAAGTATTTTCCAAAAGCACAAAAATAATGAAGCTAAATCCCATAAAAGAGAAGAAAAAATGTAGAATTTTAAGAAAATCTGATTTTTGAATTTTTTTGAATTTTCGATAATTTTAGATTTTTTACCAAAGAGTCGAGACAATTTAATAAGTAAAGTATTTTCCAAAAGCACAAAAATAATGAAGCTAAATCCCATAAATAAGAAGAAAAATTGTTGAATTTTAAGAAAAGCGGATTTTTGAAATTTTTCGAATTTTTGATAATTTTAGATTTTTTACTAAAGTGTCGAGACAATTGAATAAGTAAAGTATTTTCCAAAAGCACAAAAATAATGAAGCTAAATCCTATAAAAGAGAGGAAAAAATGTTGAATTTTAAGAAAAACTGATTTTTGAATTTTTGATAATTTTCGATAATTTTAGATTTTTTACCAAAGAGTCGAGACAATTTAATAAGTAAAGTATTTTCCAAAAGCACAAAAATAATGAAGCTAAATCCCATAAATAAGAAGAAAAATTGTTGAATTTTAAGAAAATCGGATTTTTGAAATTTTTCGAATTTTTGATAATTTTAGATTTTTTACTAAAGAGTCGAGACAATTGAATAAGTAAAGTATTTTTCAAAAGCACAAAAATAATGAAGCCTCATCTCATAAAAGAGAGGAAAAAATGTTGAATTTTAAGAAATTCGGATTTTTAAATTTTTGATAATTTTCGATAATTTTACATTTTTTACCAAAGAGTCGAGACAATTTAATAAGTAAAGTATTTTCCAAAAGCACAAAAATAATGAAGCTAAATCCCATAAAAGAGAAGAAAAAATGTTGAATTTTAAGAAATTCGGATTTTTGAATTTTTGATAATTTTCGATAATTTTACATTTTTTACCAAAGAGTCGAGACAATGTAATAAGTAAAGTATTTTCCAAAAGCACAAAAATAATAAAGCTAAATCCTATAAAAGAGAGGAAAAAATGTTGAATTTTAAGAAATTCGGATTTTTAAATTTTTGATAATTTTCGATAATTTTACATTTTTTACCAAAGAGTCGAGACAATTTAATAAGTAAAGTATTTTCCAAAAGCACAAAAATAATGAAGCTAAATCCCATAAAAGAGAAGAAAAAATGTAGAATTTTAAGAAAATCTGATTTTTGAATTTTTTTGAATTTTCGATAATTTTAGATTTTTTACCAAAGAGTCGAGACAATTTAATTAGTAAAGTATTTTCCAAAAGCACAAAAATAATGAAGCTAAATCCCATAAAAGAGAAGAAAAAATGTTGAATTTTAAGAAATTCGGATTTTTGAATTTTTGATAATTTTCGATAATTTCACATTTTTTACCAAAGAGTCGAGACAATGTAATAAGTAAAGTATTTTCCAAAAGCACAAA